TTTGCTCGTCACTACAGATGATACGTCGGCTGGTATACCAAGTCGAAACACGACGCAGTTTCTCCGCAGATAGTGATGAATGCCAATATACCCATCGGAAGAGGGAATCGGCAACTGCCAGCCTTTTTTTTCTTAGTCATCGAATAGGATATACAGCCCAAAGGGATAAGATGGTTATAGTTGTGTGGAGGGTGTGGTTTGTGTTGGGGGAAAAGATGTGGAACGGTAGCTTCCGCGGTGGCAGAGGTTGTGAGAGGCCATACTCCGCACCAGCCTGGTCAAGGTGGTGGAGCTGGTCCGTTTGCGAACGGCCACAAACCAGAGCGCGTGACTGTGCGAGTATAGAATGTCAACCATTGGAATAGGAACTACAATTGGCAAGGTACAGACCCTGAGGTTGACTCGACCAATACGATGCACTCAAGCCCCGCATTTATCGCTATAAACTTTATTCCTTAATCTCCAACTGCCCGATCGAATCGAAGATCAGTAGCTCACCTCGATAAAGCTCTCCTTCTCTCTAACCCTATGCCAACGATGCACGAGTCATGGTCTGATGACCAAGAACCTGCACGTTTGTGTAGTCGCTGATTGGGCGGCGAACCACCATTGCCAAATATGTCCACGAATGTGCGCGTCAAATTCTTGATCCGTATCTTATTTAGTCGCCGTAGTGCCCAGTGAGGTTGTAGCGTGAAAATCCCCTCCGCCCTTCGCTGGCCGACGCATAGCCAACGGAACCGCAAAAGAGCGTAGGTGGTGGTGTTGAGGCGCGGAAAGTTCCGACCTATCCCACTGCATACTGTACTTCTAAATCAGTAACTATCCGGATATCAAAAGTATAGGGGTACCATCTTTAAAGTGCGGTGGCACCGTTGCTGTTCGTTCACACTCACAAGTCTAGAGCTGTATTCTGGCAATGTCCGTAGAGTAGAGAGTTATCGAACGGATAACTCTAGGTTAACCCCGATTATTAAGCCCCAGTCTGGTCACATTACGCTGCTGATAACCGCGGCATAGAGGAGGGCCTTGTCCACCTGTGTATTGGCTACTGCCGCCGAGGGCAGAGAGTACGGAGGAGGAGGGGTGGATCCCAATGAGCCAGGGAGTGGGCAAAGACCAATGAATCGCTGTATTAGCAATAGTTGAGGCTTATCGGAGGTCGGATAAGGATATATGACAATGATGACGCTCAATGATGCTGATAAGTTGTTCGTGAGTCGTGATCGCGCCCAAGAGCATTACTCATGTTGGGAGCAAATGCGTGTGGGCATGGGTTTATTGGTAATCGTGAGTCGGTGGCATCATCATTTCCCTCTGCCTTGCCATCTCAGTCCCATAGACTGGACGCCGAGTTGGCCCTCTATTGTGACTTGAGTTCGTGGCCTCGGGAATTAGGGACGCGATATTTTTTCTTCATTTCTTTTTCGGTTTTTTGCACCCGCGAAATTTCGGATGTGGCTTGCCCGGTCGGGGGGCGCAATCCGGGTACTAAGAATTTCATGTGGCTTTTTTTTTGCTCCTTCGTGTGGCTTTGTCCTAAGCAACAGACGCCATGAATCAATGCAGGGACGAAAAAGTTAATCGACCGACTCACCGCCGTGCTGGAATAATAGCGCTGGATCCGATTGGCGTATTTGCGTTCTGCCTCATGGGCTTGTTGCGCTACGCATCCGTAGTGAACGAAGGGGAGCTGGTGAAGGGCGAGAGGGGAGCAGAGGGGAGAAATAGTGATCAAGGAGAGATGATAATGATGACTCAAGCTCATTCAACACAGACGGTTTTTTGAGTTGAGAGACAGGAGATAATATGCCGAACACTACCTCATTCGTTACAAGGATGTAAATTGCTTTTCTGAACTAGGAAGGGGAGTCAGTTTTTTTGTTCTTCCATGTCTCGCCCGTAAATGATAACTGTCTCCAAGGACGTTTTGCCAGGAGAGGTCGAATCTCACCCGCTATTCATCCCTCGATCTATGAACCGTTGTCTAATCTCACTTTCCTTTATCGTCCATCTTTGCCCAATTATTATCTCTCCCAACCCACTCTTGCTTCTGCCCCGTCGACCCTCTCTGTCTGCCATCCGGGCGCGTCATTGTCTATGGTCTCGGGCACTTGATGCAGGTGTTATCCTCTCGAGAATCCCAGATGGGAGCTCGATCCGCATCGTTGCGACCTCAGCCACTGACGAACGCACATGTGTGGGCGTAATAGAGGAGACGCGGGTGTTTTGAGTGTCGGTAAGATGGAGCTGGAAGGGTCCACGTAGCGGTCGTTACGCTTGCTAGGGACGCGGGAGGCTTGTACAAACGGGTGGCGGAGTTGAGATCCATAATGACGTGCAAAAAGGCGTCCCGGTGTGTGCGACTAGACGGGGGTATCGAGATGGTTCGTGTACACGTACCACTGCTCCCTTAGCTGTGAGGCAGGGAGGCAGGATAGCTGCGTGCCGCAGGAGGCCGTAAAGAGAGTGAAAAAAAGGGAGAGAGACCACCACACGCGTTTGTATGCATAAAAATGGCAAAGTGACGTGCATTCGTCAGTGATCTTATAGAGATAAAAAGACTGATCGCTTTTGATCGTTCCTAATACGGATTAATCGAGGAGATACGGGGGCGAACCTGCAGACTCGGGAGGTTCCGCGCATAACCGTCCTTGCAAAAGGGGTAAGTGAGGTGCATAGGAGAGAAACGCACCGAACCTTGTAGAACTGGTAGTGTTTGAGCGAGAGGCTCATGAGAACGCGTTGGGCGCCGTCCCTGCAGCTTCAAGCATGAGCCAGCCCTGCAAACTGTTCCTCTTCGTCATCGCCCATCCATGCAGGCGGGCATTCGGCCGCACGAGTGCCCAGGAGGAGACGGAGAAATTGCACAAGGAGGGAGAGCGAAAAGGAGCAGAAAAATCCGAAGATAATTGTCGCGCCCGGTGTTTATAGAAGAAGGCGTCGTCAGAGATGCGACTGTTCCTCGATATAAACTCTTGGAAAGGTAGCATTCGTCCAGAGGAGACCAGGGTAGGATTTCTAAGCTTCAAGCTCAGAGATACCAGTGATCCAGCAACTCCACCACCTCAGGATGGGCCCTCCACCGCGTGTTCCAGCCCTGCGCAGACCAGTTTTGCAGCTTTGCTCGTCACTACAGATGATACGTCGGCTGGTATACCAAGTCGAAACACGACGCAGTTTCTCCGCAGATAGTGATAGATACCCGTGTTTATCCGTGCGTGCACCAGTTGGCCTGAAGTGAGCAGAGATGGTAGCTGAGTTGTGATAGATGGGGGGGAACGTGAGGCTGGGTTTGCCAACTCAACTCTCTCCTTCTTCTCGATCGGCATCCCAAAAATGTATTGAGCGTCCAATTCAGTCCGACTAAAAGGGTTAAACTAGGAAAATAAATAATTTAATCTGGAAAAATATTTCGAAAACTCGCTGTTTATTGGAGTATTCAACGGGGGGAGCGAAGAACACGGTTGAAAAGCAGTGATGCGAGGTCTGGTATAAATACAACTGTCCGGTTAGCCAGTCTTGCTGTTTTTTGCTGTTCTGTGTCCAGCTGACGCGGCGACAGGATCACTGAACACTACCTCCTCCTCGAGTAGCTACTACTCGTGTCTCCTCGTATCTCCTACTCTACCTCGTATATCTCCATTCACATCTCCATCTCTGTCTTGCGACGGTACAGCACGGCGCTTTGTTGCTCCCAGCACTCCTCTCCAGCCTCTACTCCTCCTCGGGGATCCATCAGAACGAAAACTCTCTTCATATCTACACTTTTGTCGGACTGAATTGGACGCTCAATACATTTTTGGGATGCCGATCGAGAAGAAGGAGAGAGTTGAGTTGGCAAACCCAGCCTCACGTTCCCCCCCATCTATCACAACTCAGCTACCATCTCTGCTCACTTCAGGCCAACTGGTGCACGCACGGATAAACACGGGTATCTATCACTATCTGCGGAGAAACTGCGTCGTGTTTCGACTTGGTATACCAGCCGACGTATCATCTGTAGTGACGAGCAAAGCTGCAAAACTGGTCTGCGCAGGGCTGGAACACGCGGTGGAGGGCCCATCCTGAGGTGGTGGAGTTGCTGGATCACTGGTATCTCTGAGCTTGAAGCTTAGAAATCCTACCCTGGTCTCCTCTGGACGAATGCTACCTTTCCAAGAGTTTATATCGAGGAACAGTCGCATCTCTGACGACGCCTTCTTCTATAAACACCGGGCGCGACAATTATCTTCGGATTTTTCTGCTCCTTTTCGCTCTCCCTCCTTGTGCAATTTCTCCGTCTCCTCCTGGGCACTCGTGCGGCCGAATGCCCGCCTGCATGGATGGGCGATGACGAAGAGGAACAGTTTGCAGGGCTGGCTCATGCTTGAAGCTGCAGGGACGGCGCCCAACGCGTTCTCATGAGCCTCTCGCTCAAACACTACCAGTTCTACAAGGTTCGGTGCGTTTCTCTCCTATGCACCTCACTTACCCCTTTTGCAAGGACGGTTATGCGCGGAACCTCCCGAGTCTGCAGGTTCGCCCCCGTATCTCCTCGATTAATCCGTATTAGGAACGATCAAAAGCGATCAGTCTTTTTATCTCTATAAGATCACTGACGAATGCACGTCACTTTGCCATTTTTATGCATACAAACGCGTGTGGTGGTCTCTCTCCCTTTTTTTCACTCTCTTTACGGCCTCCTGCGGCACGCAGCTATCCTGCCTCCCTGCCTCACAGCTAAGGGAGCAGTGGTACGTGTACACGAACCATCTCGATACCCCCGTCTAGTCGCACACACCGGGACGCCTTTTTGCACGTCATTATGGATCTCAACTCCGCCACCCGTTTGTACAAGCCTCCCGCGTCCCTAGCAAGCGTAACGACCGCTACGTGGACCCTTCCAGCTCCATCTTACCGACACTCAAAACACCCGCGTCTCCTCTATTACGCCCACACATGTGCGTTCGTCAGTGGCTGAGGTCGCAACGATGCGGATCGAGCTCCCATCTGGGATTCTCGAGAGGATAACACCTGCATCAAGTGCCCGAGACCATAGACAATGACGCGCCCGGATGGCAGACAGAGAGGGTCGACGGGGCAGAAGCAAGAGTGGGTTGGGAGAGATAATAATTGGGCAAAGATGGACGATAAAGGAAAGTGAGATTAGACAACGGTTCATAGATCGAGGGATGAATAGCGGGTGAGATTCGACCTCTCCTGGCAAAACGTCCTTGGAGACAGTTATCATTTACGGGCGAGACATGGAAGAACAAAAAAACTGACTCCCCTTCCTAGTTCAGAAAAGCAATTTACATCCTTGTAACGAATGAGGTAGTGTTCGGCATATTATCTCCTGTCTCTCAACTCAAAAAACCGTCTGTGTTGAATGAGCTTGAGTCATCATTATCATCTCTCCTTGATCACTATTTCTCCCCTCTGCTCCCCTCTCGCCCTTCACCAGCTCCCCTTCGTTCACTACGGATGCGTAGCGCAACAAGCCCATGAGGCAGAACGCAAATACGCCAATCGGATCCAGCGCTATTATTCCAGCACGGCGGTGAGTCGGTCGATTAACTTTTTCGTCCCTGCATTGATTCATGGCGTCTGTTGCTTAGGACAAAGCCACACGAAGGAGCAAAAAAAAAGCCACATGAAATTCTTAGTACCCGGATTGCGCCCCCCGACCGGGCAAGCCACATCCGAAATTTCGCGGGTGCAAAAAACCGAAAAAGAAATGAAGAAAAAATATCGCGTCCCTAATTCCCGAGGCCACGAACTCAAGTCACAATAGAGGGCCAACTCGGCGTCCAGTCTATGGGACTGAGATGGCAAGGCAGAGGGAAATGATGATGCCACCGACTCACGATTACCAATAAACCCATGCCCACACGCATTTGCTCCCAACATGAGTAATGCTCTTGGGCGCGATCACGACTCACGAACAACTTATCAGCATCATTGAGCGTCATCATTGTCATATATCCTTATCCGACCTCCGATAAGCCTCAACTATTGCTAATACAGCGATTCATTGGTCTTTGCCCACTCCCTGGCTCATTGGGATCCACCCCTCCTCCTCCGTACTCTCTGCCCTCGGCGGCAGTAGCCAATACACAGGTGGACAAGGCCCTCCTCTATGCCGCGGTTATCAGCAGCGTAATGTGACCAGACTGGGGCTTAATAATCGGGGTTAACCTAGAGTTATCCGTTCGATAACTCTCTACTCTACGGACATTGCCAGAATACAGCTCTAGACTTGTGAGTGTGAACGAACAGCAACGGTGCCACCGCACTTTAAAGATGGTACCCCTATACTTTTGATATCCGGATAGTTACTGATTTAGAAGTACAGTATGCAGTGGGATAGGTCGGAACTTTCCGCGCCTCAACACCACCACCTACGCTCTTTTGCGGTTCCGTTGGCTATGCGTCGGCCAGCGAAGGGCGGAGGGGATTTTCACGCTACAACCTCACTGGGCACTACGGCGACTAAATAAGATACGGATCAAGAATTTGACGCGCACATTCGTGGACATATTTGGCAATGGTGGTTCGCCGCCCAATCAGCGACTACACAAACGTGCAGGTTCTTGGTCATCAGACCATGACTCGTGCATCGTTGGCATAGGGTTAGAGAGAAGGAGAGCTTTATCGAGGTGAGCTACTGATCTTCGATTCGATCGGGCAGTTGGAGATTAAGGAATAAAGTTTATAGCGATAAATGCGGGGCTTGAGTGCATCGTATTGGTCGAGTCAACCTCAGGGTCTGTACCTTGCCAATTGTAGTTCCTATTCCAATGGTTGACATTCTATACTCGCACAGTCACGCGCTCTGGTTTGTGGCCGTTCGCAAACGGACCAGCTCCACCACCTTGACCAGGCTGGTGCGGAGTATGGCCTCTCACAACCTCTGCCACCGCGGAAGCTACCGTTCCACATCTTTTCCCCCAACACAAACCACACCCTCCACACAACTATAACCATCTTATCCCTTTGGGCTGTATATCCTATTCGATGACTAAGAAAAAAAAGGCTGGCAGTTGCCGATTCCCTCTTCCGATGGGTATATTGGCATTCATCACTATCTGCGGAGAAACTGCGTCGTGTTTCGACTTGGTATACCAGCCGACGTATCATCTGTAGTGACGAGCAAA